AAGAAATCAAAATAATTAATGGATTTGCTAATAGAAATTGAATGGACATACAAATTCTATTTATTGTTTGATATTAAATAATAATGAAGATCTTATTGTAACTGGTAGTAATGATAAGACAATTAAATTTTGGTAGAAATAAAATGAATGGTTGTGTTCTTAGACAATCACTGATCATACTTAATATGTAGGTGGATTAAGTTTTAATGAATAATAAAATAAATTGATATCTTGTGGAATAGATACATTTATATTAGTAATAGAACAATCATAATTGAATAAATAATGGATGGTAATATAAAAGATTATATTGGAATAATGTGGACTTCGATTATGCTTTATCGATGATAATACCTTAACATTCTAACCACTTTATAAAGAGTAGATGTAAGTTTTTGAGATGAATAGTACTAATAAATAATATACAAAGACGAAGGATATTCTAGTGAAGGGGGGTTCAGATTTATGGTTATTTCCTAAATAATATATAAAATAAAAATGCATACTTATTAATAAGAATGCATCAAATGTGAATTTAATAAGGAAGAAACAAAATGGTGATTTTATAGTAGAGTAATCTATTGAGTTTGGAACTAGAGGGATATTTGGATGTTTGACTGATGATGGATAGTATTTGATCACTTGGGATGACAAATCAAAAGAATATTAGATTAGAAAATATGAGGAACAATGAGTTATTAATTATGATACTAAATAAATCAATACCTTATATAGAAATAATCTTCAGAAATTTCCTATTTTTAGATGAATTTACATCTTCCAGGTCTAAATTCACTCTACAAATGATGATTTTCGATTATTATTAGTTTAGAACTTATTTGTAATAGTATTTCTTTTTTGAATTTTTCCAATTTTAAATAATCAATTTATTTAAAGATTAATATGAATTTAATAATGAGTGATATAATACTTAAAAAAATGATTATAAATAAAAATATCAATCTTTATATTCATATGTTAATATGGTATGTGAAAATCCATATAATATGATTGTGAACTCTGAATTTTATTTATTTTATTCTTTTGGTTGATATAGGTTGAGAAACAAAAGTGAATTATTTGATCTTGCATTTAGTATGAATTAAATTGGAAAATATTTTGATTAATCATAAAAGGTCATTTAGTAAATTCAATCCATCTCCTATTATTTTTCAAAAGCTTGATTACATTATTTGGTAAATTTACTTAATTTGATGATGAGTTACAACAGAATATTGCTAGTATTATGTTATTAAATCTCTGAAATCATTTATTTGAATAGATCTTGAAATCAGAATTCTAAATGTGAATTGGCTAAATTATATTGAAAATTAGAAAAAAAGAAATTGAAATAATATTTGAATCAATATCATTTTATATATTTATTATGTATCTTAATATTCATTTTAGAAAATTTTAGATAA